TTTGTTTTGCCCATCCCTTTGTTTTGTTTGCTTATATTCTACAAATGAGGAAAATAATCCAATATTTGTCTTTCTCTTTCTAACTTATTTTGCTTAACATAGTCATCTCTAGTTTCATCCATGTTATTACAGATTGCAAGATTTCATCACCTATTATAGCTGTGTATTCCATTCTATCCAGAATGACTATCATTTGCATTACTATTAACAATCACATGTTCTTAACCCATCTGTCATTGGGCACTTAGTTTCTTTCCCTACCGTGGCTACTATGAATAGTGCTGTTGTGAACAGGAGTGTGTATCATGGCTTCACAGTAGTGTCTTTGCTTTTTTCTGGTGGATAGTTAGAGGCAGAATTGTTGGATCAGAACCTCTTCCACATAACACACCATACTGTTTTTATGAGCCTCTTAGGTATAATATTAATTCTTTTTTGCAGCCGGGCATAAATATAATAACCCTTTCATTATATTTTGAAAGTACCCCAGATATTTGAGGATAATTATTACCTTCCTTCCTATTCAGATTTTCCTTCAGGGTAAAAGTCTCCATTATCTCAAGCCATTCCTCTTCAACGTGGTATAGTGAGCCTTGTCCTCTTTTGAGCAGTCTCCAGTGTTGTTACAGGGCAGGGAGAGGGGCACCCCTGAAACCACCAAAATCTGCCTGTCATCTGCCACATCAAGACAAAACATATATGACCTTTAATAGAAAGGAACTTTAATACAATTAGTGTGCAATCAGAAAAGATAAAGAATATAGTTTCTAAATCAAACACTCAAAGTTACCCATGCCCTCATGGGTAATAGTCTACCCAAAAGGGACTGACCCAAAGCAAGGCCCACCACAAGTCTAAAACACCCTATGACAGCGACCCATGAAAAAGGGTCAGAAATGGCCAGACAAGTCTGGGAGGAAAAGAGCAAAATCAAAATCAAGATAAACTCTGCCATAGTGAACCTCCTCACGTCTCTCACCCACACCTGTTTTATTCATTCCAGGGCCAAAAAGAAGCAAGTAGTTTCTTCACATGTCTCTCTACTCCCTGTGCCTCCGTCAGGTCTCCTTCTGGCTCCCCGTCCTGACTCCTTCCCCCTCACTCTCCTCTCTAGATTCCTCTCTTCTCTCCTCAGCACCCCCTCCTTCCTGGTATGTCAGGGAACTTGGAACCTCCCCTTTTCCTGGGGACCACCCTCTTACAGTATCAGGATTATCTTATATCATAGAAAGGTTGGAGAAAGTTATGCTAATAGTTAATATTTTTTCCATTTATTTTTTTGAAATAATGAAAAGCTATATCACTTAGGAATTGCCAATTTTTGTTCCTTATAAAAAAACTCAACTGCAAATTGTTTATATAAAAATGTATTTTCTCAACATAAGAACTTCTGACCTAGCCAGTCAAGGATTGATATGGTGATTCTAAAATTCCTCAAAGAAACCCCAGATTTCTTCAGTCATTTTTCATGTCTTACTATCATGGTTTCAAAAAGACTTAGATATCAGTAGACACTGAATCCATAGCCCATATACATTTTTAATATGTTTTGACTCTTGTATACCCATTAAAGCACCACAGCCATTTCATCACTTGCAAGATTATTCGTATGCTACATTTTTATTTAAATTGATAGACTTTGTATTTTAGAGCAGTGTTAGGTTTATAGAAAAATTGCACTGAAAGTAGGAACACTGTTAGAAACACCTTTTCCTCCTCAGGAGTTTTGCCTGTTATTAACATCTTGCTTTGGTTTAATACAGTAGTAATAAATGAAACAGTGCCAGTATATTAGTAATATCATTAATATTAATTAATATTATTTATTAAATATTTAAATCAATAACATTTATATTTAATAATCAATTGTTATTAATTAAGGTCGTGTGCTTTCTGTTTAGGTTATTAATAATTATTTACAAAAAAAGTTTTACACATTTTATCCATATGTTGGCTTTTTAGTTGGATAATTTTTATTGAAATATTGTCAAGCTCTCTTAATTATATTATTTATTTCTTATATTCATGAATATTGAAATTATTCTAAAATATTACTTCAAGGCTCAATTCCCAACAATACTTATATATAACTTATATATACTATCTCAGTGAAAATGTTTCAGTCATTTCAAGCCTTAAAATACTCTCTCAACCATACTATATGCTGTCTCAATCACAGCCTGTACGATGTGGAAAAGAAAATCCCTGTTTCAACATCTTTTCTCACTTATGTTATTTGAAAAATGACTGAACCTTTCCCAAGCTTATTGTTGGCTTCAACAAATGCTTCCTGTTTGTAATAAGTATTACCTAACTCACAGAAGAAAAAATATATGTATCATAATTTTTGATGTAATTTGATTTGCTTTCTCTGATAATAGTGCCCTTCATATCTGGAGTCTATCAGAATATAACCTTAGTTTAATTTACAATAAAATTTCTAACTTCTATACAATTCTTTTTATATAAGAAAATCTCCCTATGAGACTCACATAAATTTCAGTTGAATTAATTTTTCCTTGTTTTTTTTTTCTCATTTCTAGTGGTCATAAAACTGGAGTCTGCGCAGAAGAAATCATGTGCCAGGTCAAAAACTATAGGAGGACACCAAACCAGCAAAATGACATTTCTTGACTTCTTTGAACCATAAAAGCAATACACTACCATTCAACAAAATAAACACAGTGCAACCATTGACTCCCAAATCAAAGGCTCTAAAATTTTATTAAATACCTAATCTCATGAGCACTTTCTTTTCAGTGGTAAAGTTGAGAGTTGTTGCTTTTCAATAAGTACTATGTATAGGACTTTGAAAAACAATATACTCATTTAAATTTTTGCAATTTAGGAGCCTCTCTGGTGGCACAAGGGGTTGAGGCCAGCACTTTGAGGCTAGCCGCAGCTACTACGGGCACAAATTCTCCACCTGGCCAAGGAGCTGACCAAAAGGGCACAGCAGTCCTCTCCTGTCCAGACACTGCTCCCCTCAGCAATATATTTCAGTAGAAACGCCTGTTTTGCTCCCCACTTTGTCTTTGGGGAATCCTCTCACCCCTCACACTTGTGGCATACACCACAGTTCTTATAGTAAAAAAATAAATAGATGCAGATTGAAAACAACTCAAGGATGGGAGGATGAGGAGGGAAAAAATGACCTACACGTACACAGAAAGCAACACCAAGCAACACCCCACACCTCTAGCCTATATCCCAGTTTTTTGTATGCATAAATACATTAATCTTTTAAAAAGAAAGAAGCTATTTTTAAAAAAGTAATAAATAAGGGCCCTCCCTGGTGGCACAGCAGGTTAAAGCACAGCACTGAGAAGCTAAAGCCACTTCAGCATGAGTTCGATCCCAGCCCTGGAGGTGACCTACATGGCGTGGCAGACCTCTCCTGACCCGCCTGCTGCTCCCCTCAGCAGTGTACTTTGTTGATCTGCCTGTTCTGCTCCCCACTTTGTCTCCAGTGAATCCTCTCACTGCCCCTGCACCTCTGGCCTGTACCCAGCTCTGTATGCACAAATAAATAAATCTTTTTTTTTAAAAAGTAATAAATAAAAATGAATAAATCTTGCAGTTTTGAAATTTAGAATTCAGCTTTAATAACAGGGGGAAATAGATTTATTCTGCTGTGTAATTACAATGACTGTGCTTCAGCAATATATTTAATATCTTTAAAGAGTCCCAGGAGACAATTTTAATACAATTAAAGCCTATATATTGCTATTGTAAAGAAGCCACAGTGTAGTTAAACTTTTTATTAAGGTAAAATTTGAATACTAAAATAAATTCGACTTTTTGTATGAAATAAATGATAGTCACATCTGCCTCTGCAAAATGCTTGCTTGCTTGGCTGCCTATTTTCTACATGCAAAGGAATTATCACAAGGTGGACTAAGGAATTCTACGGCCAAACTTGCTCTGAGGACACTGCAAGGCTGCTACAAAAGCCTGCAGGTGGCAGAAATGTTTGCAGTGAAGAAGTCATGTGGCCAAGTTGAGGGGAGGAACCCGAATATCAAGTCCAGCCCTCTGTGAATGAGAATGAGGTAGTGGGGGGAGAGGGGGAAGGGAAAAAGGAATCAAGATATTAAGAGCCTAGTCCTCAGGGCTTTGAAGTACCCTCTGGGATGGGAAAGAGAGCTTTTATCACTGCACTGTTCTCACAGATAGTCTGACTCTGCAGAGCAAGAAATGTTCTAATATCATATGTACCATTCTTCCTTTATTGCTAACCAAGAATGTAACCAGACTTAGCTTTCATCGCTGTTACAGAATCATATTCTTTCTGTGCATGCATTCCACCCTCAAAAAAGATACACAAACTAAAACACCTCTCGCGGGAGAGCAGCACTCAGTGGAATATGAAAACTACCTCCCAGATCTAGAGTGTCTAAATCTCTCATAAACTTCTCTTTGAGTTACTTCACAGTAGTGATTATTTCAATTGACAATTACTTTCTAAATGGAGAGTATAAAGGTGGTTACCAAGATCAAGGGAATAGGTGTTGTGAGGGAAGAATCAGTATAAGTCAGAGGAATTAGGTGAAAGAATTCAGCAGAGACAGAAGTAGAGACCAGAACAGGTGGATTTACTGAAAAATCAACACACTAAGAGTAGCAACGGGAAGGCAAGACAGGAGAGCTGACCCTTTTGGGGTTAGGTTCCTGGGGTTCCTGGGGTTTGGTTTGTTATACTCCAGGTATCACTGATCTTGAGTGACTAGTCTTGAGTTGTGCCCAAACTGATTAACTGAATTACATAAGGGATCAGCAGCTCGTCAGCTTACTGTCCCAGTTACCAAGGCAGACCTACCTGCTCCCTTTATCCGTTAAGCCTCCCAAACTTGCCCGCTGGTGAGGAATGGGGCTTAGTTTGATACCACAATAGTAGGGAAAATGGGAAGAGTTTGGTTAAAATGTTCAGACTTTCAGAAGTATGATTGAGGTCTAAGAATCAAATTTATAACATGGAGACTATACATGTTAACGCAGTACTGTGTCATTGAAACTTGCTGAAATAGTTTCCCCGCCACCCCCCACTCATCTCAACCCTCAACCTTTCCTTCTGTAATAATTCCTTTCTGTGACAATAGAAGGGGGAAAGGTGAAATCTAGCTAAACTGACCTCAGGGCTTTTTTTTTTTAATTTTTTTAAATTTTATTTATTCGTACAGAACTGGGGTACAGGCCAGAGATGCCGAGGATGAGAGGATTCACCAGAGACAGAGTGGGGTGCAGAACAGGCAGATCGACAAAGTACACTGCTGAGGGGAGCAGCGGTTGGGTCAGGAGAGGTCCGCCAAGCCATGTGGTCACCTCCAGGGCAGGTGGGGGATTGAACTCTTGCAGAAGTGGTTTAAGCTCCTTTGTGCTGTGCTTTAACCCACTGCGCCACCAGGGAGGGCCCTCAGGGCTTTTTTAGTGAATGCAAGCTAGGGAATCAGGGATCATCTGGGGGATGGTGGAGAATGAGGAAACTGAGCAGAGATGGAGGCTTATCAGTTATTCATGGTAGAGGGATCTGTTCGATTGACTTGTAAGAGTCTGATAAAGTTGGGCAATGCTAAGTGGGACAAAGAAGTCTAAAGTCAGGGCCTAGCCAAGAACAAATTCAAAGGAGCCACACAAGAGTTTCTTCAAGGAGAGAATTTCTGTCAGGTCTTGCACAAAGGGTTATGTAGAATGACAATCAGATATTTGGGGTGATGGAAATATTCTATATCCTGAATTGCATGCATGTAAGCTTTTCTAAACCTCAGCAAATTGTATTCAATTAAAATGGGTGTGTGACAGTTTATGCAAAAATGACATCTTTGAGAAATTAGCCTGGAAGAACATATCAATAGCTCAAACTATAAACTGTGGTTTCTGAAGAGTTAAGTATCACTTTACAGCATATCTTTTTGGAACAATAATATAATGCAAGAAAAAATTAAAAGCAATGGGCAAAGAAGCCAGTAACTTCAGTGGTGGGACAAAACTAACCAAGTCATGAATTTTCTGTTCCACCCTAGACTTACTAAATCAGTATGAACATTTTCACTAGATATGCAGGTTTTTCTTATGCCTATTAAAATTGGAGGAGCATTCAAAATATGCCTAAAACAGACCACACTTTATCATTATTTTTGAAGAAATGAATCCCAAACACCCGAAAGGAATAGCAATCTTAAAGATTCCCTCATTCAAACTGAGTCTAACACAGTGACGGATTTCACATCCAGGCTTCTCAATTGGTACCAGTGCTGAGCGTCATTTAGAAGACAATCAAGGGTGGTAATGGCAACTTGTAATTTTGGCTTTAATTTATAGGAGGTCAGTTATTCCAAGATCACAAAAGAGGCAGCATAAACTTTCCAGAGTCGCATGGATCATACAAATGGCCACGAAGAGCACAAGGGATCACAGTCAAACTTTTCCATTTCTCCCAGCATTTTGCTCTCGATGGACACTCCCCCAGCACCAAGGCCTGGGTACTGGCCCACACAGCACTCGCCCTGCAGGGCAGGGCAGTGCGCCGCGCGGGGACAAAAGTCAGTGGTGACTGCTGGGCGGAGTCGCGAGAAGAGGGTGGAAGGAGACGTTGCTACAGGGGGCGGAGCCTATTCGCAGAGGAGGGGCGGGATGGGGCTATGCCACAGGGGGCGGGGCGAGGGCGGGGCTAAGTCGCTGGACCGGTGTGAGGGCGGAGCGAACGCCGAGGACCTGGGATCCGGGTCTGACAGCTCAGCCCGCACGGCCTGGTCTGGGGCGGGCCTGGAAGCGATCCCCACCCCCGGCCGCTGCCGCGATGGGGATGTGTTTTCCTTGTCCTGGGGAGTCCGCGCCCCCCTCGCCGAACTTGGTGAGTAAGGCCGCGTCGACGCGTCTCCGGGTCCGCCAGGCCCGCCAGGCCAGCGCTCCGTGCACCTGTTCCCCGAGCGGCGCGGAGGCCAGAGCTGCGGGTACTGGGACGAGCGGTTGTACGCTGTCCTGCACAGCCCGCCGGTGGGGACTCCGCGGGCCTCGATGTGTGGCCGCGCCCCGAGGGACCTTGGGGTCCCGCGAGCGGGATCTGGCTCGCCGCCTCCTTGTGGGTCTTCCCACTTTCTTTACAAAAATTGTCCGATTCCAATTCTTTTTACCTTTCGCTGAATTTAGCAAAATGGGGAGTCCTTAAAACGCAGTCGTAAGAAGACGGTGCCGTGAATGGGCCATTCTTGGCGTAATGGTAGATGGAGTTTGTATGCAAAAAAGAAATTCCTCTTTCTCGACGATCTGAATTATTTAATATTCTAGGAGAAGCTGTTACCTGTGTCTGTACGAATTGTTTAAAGAAGGTGATTAGTAAAGTCTCAATGATTTCACTTTAGTATTTATCTTTCTTTTGCTTAAGGTCTACCTTTAAAAATAGAATAATTTTTGGAATACAAAGTACACAACGCGTGATGCCATATTTAGCCATTAAAAATGCAGGGAGCCCAGTTAAATCTGAATAGATAAACAAGGAATACATTTTACAAGTATGTTTGTCTTCGTGCAATATTTTGGACATACTAAAGACTGTTATTGTTTATCTGAAGTTCAAATTTAAGGGGTTTGTGGTACAATACATTTATACTTTTTGTAACTTTTCAGTGTTTTTCTGTTTATAGCCCTGATAGGGAGTTAATAGCAGAAAAATCTCTCTTCTATATAAAAAAATTTCTTGATCTAAAGGAGTTATTTAGAGAATATGTTAACTCTTCTGCTGTTTGATTGTAGGCAGTAAAAATGTGCTGGAAATTGATAGGACAACTTCTTGTCTTTCTTGTTACTGTTGCTTTTAGGTGTTAATTTTATTTGTGGTTGATAAAATACCAGCATTTGTTAGTCCTTTCTCCCATCACAAAGCTATTGAAATATATTTTCTTCCCTCAGATAACTATAAAATTCACTGCTTGAATTCCATTTTACTACTGAGGCTTTACTTGAGCATCCTAAAAAAATAGATCCCACCCTGTTCCACTCACTCCTCCTTCCATTTCTTATCCACTAAAGTATTTATATTTCCCAAAGCATTTACTAGTATCTGATAATATGCATTTACTTGAGTATATTTAAGTGTGTGCCACCATTGTAAAGTAAGTTCCATATAGTTGGAAATTATTAATACAACTCCAAAAGAATGCAGCCTACTATTTTATATATTGAAAGATTTTGTAATTAATTACTATGTTATTGCAAAAATACTACTCATAAATTTATTACTTTCTGCCCTACACAATGATAGTCACCCACTTCCTTCGTACAACTTCTCTGAAAATACCAGCCTACTTCCTTTTTAACTGACAGTTAAACAAACATAGATTATTTAATCAACTAGCCTTCACATGTTTTACGCGTGTGTGCATATACAGAAAATACATGCATGTTTTAGTGTGTGTCATTTGAAGAAAAATTTAATTGGGAGAATGAAATGCCAATTCCAATTTGTTGGAATTGTAAATGATGCCATTCTTAGTGGGACATTTTGGTTCAGTTCTAAATAATTTCATAAACTGTTATGTTACCTTTAAGACAAAAGTGTATAAATTATCCATGAAAATGTGTTTTTTATTGTAAACCACTTTTAAACTTTTTTTTTCCTAGGAAGAGAAAAGAGCAAAACTTGCAGAGGCTGCAGAGAGGAGACAGAAAGAGGTGAGAGTAAAAATAAAATTCTCCATATCTAGATAATGAAGCCTGTATTTATTTATTTTTTTTGGTAGATGGCTATTACTAGTAGTATTCTCTAGTGCAAATGGTTTTTGATATCCTGTCCGATAAATGTATATTTAAATATAATATTTTTTGAAAGTGATTAGTTTCTGTAAATTACATAAAACTAGTTATATCATTTAATATATGAAAATTATCATACAGATGTCTTATTAAGGTTAGATGCCCCTTTAATAAAGAGACTTCCTTGAGGTAAAATTGACAATGACTTTTCATATACACTGACAGATGAAATGAGTTTAGGGGAAAATTTTGTGTGGTTACAAAAAAAAATGGTGAAGACTTTGTAATGTAGTTTATGTTTTGTGCAGAGTTGTTGTAAGTATAGTCTAATTCTTTGTTAATAAAAACAGGTCAACTTCCCCTCACACCTTCACTGAAAAACCTAAAATGACAGAACCAGCATAGGGAGAATGGATATTGATTTTTATTGCTTTTCTATACCTGTTGACAAATTTCTTGAAGGCTGCATCTCGGGGCATTTTGGATGTCCAGTCTGTGGAAGAGAAGAGAAAGAAAAAGGAAAAACTAGAAAGGCAAATGGCTGCATCTGGACCCCCATCAGAAGGTGGACTTAGAGTATGTATTAAAATTTATTTATGGTTTAATTTTCCTAAAATTAAAATGTATGCAACAATCCATTCAATAATTTCCTCTTGAAATTGTTTATCAGAAATTTTTGAATTATTATAAAATCATGAATTATGTAGTTTGGGAGAAATCTCTATTTTAACAATTTGTTGGAATTTTCATTCGTTGCTCCACACCAAAAGTAGATTTTTTTCTATTTTTTTTAAAGATTTATTTTATATATGTATACAGGACTTGCATACAAGTACAGGCCAGAGGCACAGGAGTGGTGAGAGGATTCACCAGAGGCAAAGCTGAAATAGGACAGGCGCATGGACAAAGTATACCGCTGAGGGGAACAGCGGTCTGGTCAGGAGAGGTCTGGTCGGGAGAGGTCTGCTATGCCTTGTGGGTCACCTCCCTTTTTAGGGATCCAACTCGCAGTAAAGCTGCTACAGTGAGCTTTATGGTTGCACCACCAGAGAGGGCCCCTTTTCTATTGTGTTTAACTGTGTCTTAATGCTTAGTACTAGCCTTAACTGCTTAGAATACTCAGTGTGGAGGTTTCAAAAAAGAAAGTGAGCATCCCAAATCAGTGTTAGTTGGCAAATATTATTTCTGATCTCTATTTATGTATCAATTCTATTATATTGAATTATACTATAAATTCTATTTTTATAACTTTTATCACTTGATAAATGAAGATTTTTGTACTCTCCTGGCCACTCAATTACCAGAGTTTTGTAAATGTCAATTTAGGATAGAGGTTTTAAGGTGCAGAAGGAGTGACACTATGGTCAATACTGGGACAAGTGGGGAACAAGTTACACGTTAAAGTTCAGGAAAATAATGGTTCAGATACTAAGGTTTTTATCTTTTATGTATTTTTAAAGGAAATACTTTTCTTAAGTAAATGTATTTTGTGAAAAGGATACTGTGATTTTTCCATCATTTACATGTAACTAGTCCATTATTTTTTTTTCTTTTAACTGATTACTGTCTTCTCAGTTCAGTTTGATTTTTGCTGTTTAAACTATATACATACATACATACATACATACATACATACATACATACATACATACATATACATGTGCCCCTAACTCATGGAGAGCAACTTAGGGCATCCTGGGCAGAGATGATTTGGTTCACAAGTATCACACAGAGATAAGATTTTTCTGTATGTATTTTATTATTGTGTATCATTTCATCTAATTTTATTATAAGCAAAGTTGAAATTGCTTTTTTATCATTAAGACTTAATAACATATAAATTATTTGATTTAAGTATTAAGGTAGTAGTTGTAACCATTGTGCTTATGTATTTTATCTATGTCCATATTAGAATAGAATAAATCTAGTATCAAGTACAACATTTGGGAAACACAAGGTCACATATTTATCAGCAGTGTAAATACTTATTTTCAATATTCCATTGAAATTGAGATCTGTGTCACCAGGTTTATTTTATGTAAGATTCTCAAAATACAATAATAATGTGGAAATAATGCTCAGATCCACTATTACATTGTCTAAAAGTGGAGGCACTGAGACACTAGTCAAAGTGAAATAGACCATTATAAAAAAAGGACACTTTTATCTATTGTCAGAATTAAGAAGGTACTTAAGATCTTGCATGTACTCATCTAATAAACACCAAGAAAGAAAAGGCTTTCTTAATTAAATCTGAAGCTTTCATGCCCTGAAACTGATAATTTAAAAATAAGTTGGGCCTTATTTTATGCTCTTCCTTTAAGAAGGCCTCAAAATGAAAAGCATTCCCAATGTATAATTTAGTACCTCCTTTCCCTTTGTATATTTTCCTCATAAGGAAGCTTTCTGGCTCCTTTAATAGTGGTTGACTCTCATAAACCACTTCTATTGCCCATTGTGTCGTTTCCCCTTGGAATATTCCTCAATGGTTCTACCGCCACATACTGGTATGGCGGACTGTGTCTCCTCCTTTCTTTCCCCTTGACCACCTGCGTAACTCGTTGTGAACGTACATTGAAGTTCAGATTCTTTGAAGGCTCAGCAATAACAGAAAATAGAAGCACTGGTAATCAATCCGCAAACTTTTGACCTTGTGTTTTCTAAGGGTCGCTATCATGCCTCCTCTATAGTGGGGCCTGAAATGTCCTGCGGTGTAACTAGATTCTTCCTTACCTGATGTCTTGGTGTGAGGAAGAATGCTCTGTCCCTGTCTTAGTGCTCTTCACTTCACCTCCTGAGTAACACTGCCTCCTCTCAGCATGATTTGGTGCAGGTAATGCTAAGTGTCTTCTGGAAAGGCAGTCATTTCTTAAGAAGTCAAGGTGATGATGCAAACTAACATTAGTACGGGATTTGATTAATCCAGGGGCTCTCAACGTGGGATGCATTTTAATGTTCTTGTGAGTTTTTAAAAGACTCAACCTCGAATCCTACTTCTCATACCAGTCACAATATCAGAAAGTAGAACTTAGCCATAGAGCGTCTTTATGTCCCAATAGGTAATGTAATGTAAAACCAAATTGAGGATCGCTGTTCTAGGGTTTTTGAGACTAGTCTTAAAAGATATATTGGGACAATAGAGTCTCATGGTAAACAAAAAAAAATCTTGACTATTATATACTATATCCCTTTCGTAGAAACTAAGACACAGTATTCAAATCTCAAAGAAGTTCTACA